ATAAAAAATAGTGCCATATATAGATTAACTATGGGGTTTATATATTAAAATATAAATGAGATTACACAGTTTATGATGTTAAAGGGTTTTGGCTTTAAATAGATTTGAAAAATATAAGAGAAAGGGAGTATAAAGCATAATGGATTTCAAACCAATTAAGCAAGTGAAAACAGAAAAAAAGACTCATAAAGGGACGGAAAAGATTCCCATTAAGAATCCATAGATTCAAATTAAATTACGTGAAGATTAAAATTGAATGCAATGTCTCTTCCTCTCTCCTCTTGTAGACTTAATCAGTAATTCAAATAAAAACAAAACTGTTTAAAAAAAGTGATAGTGATGACTGATACTAACTGGAAAATTTTCTCCACCATCTCTACTACAATGACCAACTATGTTATTCTTGCCCAAACACAGACTCTCAAGATCTTATGATTTTCTTACCATTTGGGGTCCAACATTCACATTTATTGGTCCTAAAGTTTTTGGTAAAATCTTTGCTGGTGAGTTGGTGCTGGAATCTGGAAATGTAGCAAATGTAATGTTACCTGAAAAGAAAGAAAAACATCCGATTAGTGTTCTCTCAGACCATGGTCACTTTTACCTGCCTAGTTATACCACCGTCCAGAGTTATAACCACAATTTTACTAAAACAGTTCACAGTTACCTTAAGAAGCCAAGTTCTAAACTAGAAACTTTATCAAAGAGTTTATTGACAACTTCATTGCAGTAAAATACCATTAATGCTACTGAATAAGAAATCTATAAAACAAACATTTTCAATGTAACTGACAACTACTGGGCTTTTAGTTGGTGTCTACTTTTAGAAGAATATTAAGAGAATATTTAATACAAGTCATAGCTTATATCAAAGTGTTGAGCAACAGACATCACTAAAAATATATATACACACACACATATCTATGGCATCTAACATGATGAAAAGTAAATATCTACTTGAATTTATAGCTTATATGACAAAATTACAAATGTGTATTGCAGGATGAAATGGCCCATCTTTCTCTTGATGAGCAGCTGATGGAGTCAAACTGCAAGGCTTTGGGTTGGACACAACTCCTTATCCACTGGCCACCAGAGTTCCCTTTTATGATACTTGCTGTTGTTGTTGACTGCCTTCGAGTCGAGCACAACTCATAGCAACCCTATGAACAGAAGGCTTGAAGCTCCTCTACAACTATCAACATTAGCAAAGTTCATACAGTTTCTGGAGGCATGTTATTTAGGAAGTGAATGTCACTCCTGTTAGAGCAAGAAACCCCCAAACCCATGATGCTCACTAGTTATTGATGTTGGAGCTGGTGGGATTTACACAATGTTTTCAAATAATTCTGAATAAATTTCCTATCAAAGTAATAAAAAAAATTTTATTAATAATTTATTATTGTTGTTCTTGTGTAGCATAGAGTCAGAACTGACCCATAGCTGACCCTCTGGTGGGTTTTCAGAGGCAGTTAATTGCACAGGAACAGATTGTCCCCCTTCTTCCACAGAGTGGCTGGTGGCCTCAAACTGTGTGCTTTGGGGAATGCAATGCAGCTTCTTGTCACTAGGCCACCAGAGTATAAGGACATTGTTATTAATATAATTCAAATATTATTAATACATTTTAAAACACAGAGCTAAACAAAAAAAGAAAAAAGTCCAATAATTTTCTAAACTAGCAGACCACTTGACTGGGGAAAACACACCACCATGCTTGCTTAAAGTGAAGCAGACTTGATGCACTTTCACGGAAAATTAAAAAAACCTCAGTACAGTTTATGTACCTCAATACAAAGAAAACAAAATTCCTCACAAATGGAGCAATTGGCAACATCATGATAAATGACATAAAGACAGAAGTTGTCAAGGATCTCCTTTAACTTGGGTCCACAATCAAAATTCATGGTAGCTGTAGCAGGAAATCAAAAGATACGCTATACTGGGAAAATCCAAGGACCTCTTTATAATGTTAAGAAGCGAAGACGTTCTTTGAGATGAAGAGATGCCTCACCTAAACCATTTTCAAGGGCTTTACAGTCATGCGAAAGTTAGGCAACAAATAAGGAAGACCAAAGCATTGTGTCTCTGAATTGTGGGACACTGGGACCATCTCCTGTCTCTTAATTGTGTGTGGTACTGGTGAATAAGAACAAACAAATCTGTCTTGGGAGAAGTGCTGCGAGGGTGCTCCTTTGAAGCAACGATGTTGAGACAATCAGGAAGGCTTACGTCCCGGGAAAAAAAGCACATCATGCTTGGAAAAGTCAAGGGTCAGCAAAAGAAAGAAGTTCAACGAGACACACTGAAAGACTACAATGGGAATAAGCAGAGCAGCGATTGTGAGGACAGCACAGGACTGAGCAGGGGGTTGCGTCCCCTTACACACAAGGCTGCTGTGAGTGGACCTGACTGGATGGCACCTCACAGCAACTACCATCAGGTACCATCTACTTACTTCTCTGCACAAACTTCAGTTCATCAGTGTTTCTCAGTGAGCCTGTCCAGAAGGGATGCGAACACTGGGGACAGGGAGGCAGGAGCAGGACTTTTTCCAATGTCCTGTGACTATTTCAAAATTCTACTCCTTAATCTCTTCCCTCCTAATTATCAGCAGATACTCATGTTTCTTGCATTAAAGAAAATAAGCTAGAAGGCAAAGTTAGAGCCTTTTCTTGAGCCTGTGAATTTTACCTGCACTTATTTAATCTTCACTTTCCCCCCTTTGAATGGAAAGGTCCCTATTCTCACACAAATGAATTGCCTCTAACTTCTTGGGAATCTTGCCCATCTACTCGGCCACCTGAGTTTCAACTGTTCCATTAGCTCCTTCCCGTCAACTTCTTTCTGTCTGCCATTTTGCAGCTGGGAATCATACCTCCTAAAATTACACATTTTCCACATCTTTTCCACACCCACTCAACATGGCTCCTTACCCAAATCTTCCCTTTCATGTTCTTACTCTTGTTGTCCAGCAGCCTTTATAAGCATTAGCATGTGCACAGCACCATCCAGTGACACAATCCAGAAACTGCCTTCTCTTAACTCTGCCTCCCAATCCCCTCCTCTCACCTAACTGACCACACTCTCCCCATTGTTTCATCTTAATTTGCTTTTATGTCTGTGCTTATTTTAATTTGGAACTCTGTCAATTCTGGCTTGAATAAAGTTAAGTTGCCCTTATACTCAGCAGTTTAAAACTATGGCTATAAACTATAATCACTTGTTATTACTCTAAGGTGCCATTGTGTTGACTCCAGCTTGTAGAACAGCGGATCTGTTCAAGAAGAGTGGGTCTGAACGGTTGTGTGCGATCCTCACCATCTGTGATTTACTTAGCCCGCTGTTATAGTCATTGGGTCAGTCCATCTCGTTGAGGGTCTTCCTCTCTTTCTTCACCCTCCACCTTTCCAAGCATGGTATCTTTTTCCAAGGACTTGGCCCTTCCTAACAACAGGCTCAAAATGTGTGACGTGAAGCTTCACCATCTTCGCCTCAAAGGAGCACTCTGGCCATGCTTTTTTCCAAGACATGCTTGTTTGTTCTCTTGGCAGTCCACAGGATATTCAGTACTATTCTCTAAACACCACACAACTCAAAAGGCATCAATTCTTCTATCATCCTTATTCACTGTCCAACTTGCAGAAGCATAATAATGGAAAAGACTAGGTTTGTGTGAGATGCACCTTAGTCTTTAACATGTTATCATTGTTCTTTAACACCTTAGAAGACAGGTCACTGACAGTAGATTTACCTAATGTCTTTTGATTTTTTGGTTGATGGTGCCTAGTAGGCTGATTAGTGGTCTTGAGCAAGATGAAATCATCAACTTCTGCACATCCTTCTTGATCTTAAACCATGCAGCATTCCTCTTTCTCCATTCACGTGACAGTTTCTTGGTCTAGGTATAGATTCCGCATGAGCACAATTAAGTGTTCTGGAATTCCTCATTCTTCTCAATTTTAGCCACAATGTGTTATGATCCACACAGTCAAATACCTTTGCACAGTCAATAAAACACAGACAGACATTCTTCTGGTATTCTCTGCTTTCAGCCAGCATCCATCTGACATCAGCAATGATATCCCTGGTGCTGTGGTCTCTTTTAAGATTAACTTGTACTTCTGGTAGTTCCCTGTCAATGTACTGTTCTAGCCATTGGCAAGATGCAGAGTCAGTGAACGAGAGGAAGACCCCCAATGAAGTGGATCAACACTTCAGCAAAGGACTCTAGTGCCCCAGAGCTGATGAAGACGGCTGTTCCGAGGGTTACTATGAGTTGTACTTTACAGAATTTAACAACAGTAACAACCACCACCCATATCAGAAACAAAAGCCAAAATTTTGCTAAAATCCAAGAGGGAAGAAATAATGAAAGAAAATTAAAGTTAAAAAACAGATTTTAGACTTGCCCTAATTTTAAACTTAATAAAGGAACTAAGAATGTAAAACTCTTCGGCAGAAAAAGGAAAATATCATTAAAACATGATCTGCCATTCTAGTCAAATACTAGGAATGTTAGATGGATCTTGACAGAAAGCAGAGAATACCAGAAGAATGTCTATCTGTGCTTCATTGATTATGCAAAGACTTTTGACTGTGTGGATCACAACAAGCTATGGCTGACTCTGAGAAGAATGGGAATCCCAGAACATTTGATGGTGCTAATGCAAAACCTATACTTGGATCAAGAGGCAGTTGTCAGAACAGAACAAGGAGACACTACATAGTTCAAAATCAAGAAGGGGGTCCGCCAGGGATGTATTCTGTCTCCATACCCTTTCAATCTGTATGCAGAACAGATCATCCGAGATGCTGGGCTGTACGAGGAGGAATGTGGCATCAGAATTGGTGGAAGAATCATCAACATTATGCTGATGACACAACCCTGCTTGCTGAAACTGAGGAGGACCTGAAGCTCTTGCTGCAGAAGGTCAAGGACTTCAGTCTTCAATGTGGATTGAAGCTCAACATCAAGAAAACAAAGATTCTCACCACTGGGCCAGTTGGCAGCATCAGTATAGATGGTGAAGAGATTGAGATGGTTAGCAGTTTTAGTTTACTTGGTTCCACAGTCAACACTCTTGGTAACAGCAGCCAGGAAACCAGGAGACGAATTGCATTGGGAAAGTCAGCTGTGAGGGACCTCTCAAGAGTACCGAAGAGCAACAATGTCAGGCTGGAGACTAAGGTACACCTGATCCAGGCTATAGTCTTTGCAATTACGTGCTATGCATCGGAGAGTTGGACAGTGAATAGGGATGACAGAAGGAGAATTGAAGCCTTTGAGCTGTGGTGCTGGAGAAGAGTGTTGAATATACCATGGACTGCTAGGAGAACAAACAGGTTTGTTCTGGAGAGGGTGAAGCCAGGCTGCTCCTTGGAGTCAAGGATTCTGAAGCTTCGTCTGACATACTTTGGGCATGTTGCAGGGAGGGACTGGTCCTTGAAGAGGGACATCATGCTTGGGAGAGTGGAGGGACGGTGCAGGAGAGGAAGACCCTCAATGAGATGGATGGATTCTGTGAATGGAGTGGTGGGAATGAGT